GTATGAGAATTGTTTTTGCAACCCAAATATCCATGTTGAAATCCTCACATTATTTACTATTGTTGAAATTATCACTAAAACTTTTTGTCAAGATTTACAAACTCTACGTTTCGTTCAATTTTGTAAACCAATTGATGAAATTTGAATAAGCTGATTTGTTTGGAAAAATACTTTGACAAAACCCCTACTTTGTGGTTTAATAATTTCTTTAATTTAATTCTACAGGATTGTAAACAATATTTTTTGATTGGTCAAAGTATGGCTATTTTAGGAGGTATGATGGATGGACTAACAGAAGTATCAGAATTTTATATATATATATATATATATATATATATATATATATATAAAACTTTCTATTGGCAAACAAAAGTTTATAAGAACAATCCTTCATAGTTTGAGTTTCTTGCATAATACAGCAGTGTAATATTCCTGGCCATTGCTTAATAGTCAAGGCATAAACACATTTGCAGTGCAACTCTCATAGAAAAAAAATAGATACATTGAAGAGTTCCTTATGACAGTCCTGTAGTTTACTTTGGATCAACACAGATATTTTGATGTACTTTTGCAATATTTTCTGGTCTCCTGCCTAATCCTTATTCCTTTGATACTTGTCCAGAATGTTTGTTTCTGGTGGATTTTTGTCTATACTTAAAGCATTTGAATAACAAAAATGTTTTACTCAGATTCATAACTTTATCACTGAACTTTTAATCACTCGGTTTTGTCTCTGCAGTAGTTTCTTTTCTTTTAATAAAAAATGATACCAATTCTTTGCACTTTAAAATCTGCTATTTCAGAAAGAAAAAGAAAACTGCAGAACCACTAAATTACACCCTTACTAAAGTACTTCTCAACTAAGATGGTGGTCACTTAGTTTACTTGCTATTTGCATCCTGGCTCATAAAAAGTAGCAGTAAATCTGTGCAATATTCAGTTTGTATACCCTTTTCAAATAACTGTTTGGGTAGCAATAATTATAATAGTTTAATATTCAAAATCTTTACATTTATTTTAATTTTTTATATTGCTTCTTAAACTGTAATGTACAGCCCTCTTCACTTTACCCACTACCACTTGAACCAAACCAAAATGTTCATTCACCTGTTAATAGGTTAACTATTTATACCATTACCTTATTACACTTGTTATAATTAAGATGAATGCTTGGAGAAAAGGCACCATTTTAGAAATCTGTTTTACTTTCTGTCGATTAGTTCTTTTCTTACTAATCCTGCATTTAGAATAAAACTTTATAACCTCTTCTATATTGGCTCAAAGAATGCATTTTAGTAAAATGTTTTTGGCTTCATTTTAACATTATTCTATCACCATTGTGGTCCTTACTAATTAAGTACTTGTTATATGAGCCTCAAGCACTTTTGGTCTGTCAATCTCTATTCACACACTAATAACATTCTTAAATACAAGACTGAATGCTTTCTTCATTGGGCAGATGTTTTCATTCACCTTGCTAGTTTTTTAAAAAAACTTTATCTGCATTATAACTCAAGATAAAGTTGCAAACTTCTTTAGCTCAATGTTTTTGTGGCACAAGTTAAGAGAATTCTTTAAAAGAAAAAGTGAAGAGAATTCTTATAGATTACTATATTTATACTTTCTATGTAAGATTTTTAAGATTAAACGATTATAAATAGATGCTTTTGCCATTACAGACTCACCGTTACTTCCATGGTTACAATTTTAAAATTAAATGAGTTTTAGTTTTTGATTGAGATCAGTGTCTTATATTGGCATGCCTCTTGGGAAATGTCTGTATAAAAGGCTTTCTCTTCTGTTTAATTACTTAAATATTGATGACCACTAGGTAAGCGACAAAGAAGAAATGTTTACTCACTAATGAATATGATTCCAAAAAACTGACATTTATGCAGGTGGCGTTTGAGTAAAATTGTTTATATTTTATTTGATAGAATACATAGTGTATATTTAAAAAGTTTGGACAACTCTTTCAAAATTGTCTAGAAATTGTAGTTAAATAGGCTGAGATAGATATAAAGAGACATAGAGTATATGCTCCAGGATAAAAGAAAAACAAAGGTATTCAATATAAAGAAATCTGTATATTTTTAAAAAAACATCTTGTACAAAAAAAAAAAAAAATGAATCAATAAAAAAATCTCTCTCGTCCTCAAGGACATTCTATATGCAGCCTTGAAACTGACTACTTGCCTAGAATAAGAGTTTCTTATTCATATTGACCATCATGTTTATGACGACATTTTTTTTATATTGTGAGGCCTCTGGCTGATCTCCCACTTGATGACACTCCAGAGAGCTAGGAAGTCATATTTGTGGTGACAGGATCATGAAAATTCTCAGCCAGCCACTACTAGGACAATTTGGAAGAGAGCACACAGTCCTCCTGGAACATGTACATTTTTCTTTTTCTGACCATCTCTTAATCCAGGGTTTGATCATTTGTCTAGCACCTCAATGTTAGCAGTGGCATTAACCTTGAGGACCTGTGGGAAGAAGTAGAGCAGGATGAAAATGTTTTTGTTGCCCTCAACCCCAGGATCATAACAGATGATACACAAACTTTGTGTATATCAAGGTGGATACTGTATAAAGTCACCTGTCATTTCTCTTGTCCACTTTCTAAGAACCATGTTATATCTGAGATAGTATGTAGTGACACAAACACAGTGTGCCTTTTCATTTCTTGTATCTGCCTGAAAGCAGCAATATTACTGCACTTAGTATATCAGAAAGAGGAATGAAAATGTTAAAATTTGGCACTTACAGTATTATATTGTCTTCATTTATTACTTGCTAAAGGTGTGTTCTCAAATACTTGCTGCATACACCTACACATATATTGTGTATATGTGTCATATATATATATATATATATATATATATATATATATATATATATATAAATATATATATAAAGAGACAGTGAAATAGATGTGAATAATATATTAATACATGGTTTTCTTCATGATGAATTGGTCAGCTTTATAGAAGGTAACTTGTATTAGCAGATGGAAGATAAATTTATTAATAGATAAATTTCATATGGATTAGATATTATTTTACAAGTTATAATATTAAAAGAAACTAGAAATGTGAAGTTTTGATATATAACAAGATAAATTGATATGGATAGAATGAAATAGATGTACTTTCATAGAAGAATTTTATATGTTGATGTTTTATAGATGTATAAAAAAACAATAATAATAATCTGTTCTCTGTTGAAGAGAAATGACAACTTCATATACAAGGTGGCGCATAAGTCACCAGGGTATTTAAAAATGTCATAACATATCAGATTTTTCATACTTTTTATTTCTTTCTTTCTTTTTTTCTTTTTCAGAACTTGAAGTAATATAGAGAAATTATCCAGGGAAAAATTCATAACTCAGCAGAACCAAAATCCATTGAAATGGAAATGAGCTTTGTGAACATATTCAATATCTTCATTAGCCAGTCTTTGAAATTGGACTGAGTAATTTAAGCATTGTTAATGTCAGCTGTAACTTCTGTACAAATTGCACTTTTTATGAGTACATGTGCAAATTTTCTCTTAGTATGCAATGTAAGGACATCCGAGTGTTTCAGAATTGATGTTCCTGATTCTTGTTTATTAGAGTTTTGCATATGTTCACTATTCATTTGCAAACAGTCTGTATATGATTTTCCATATTGTGGCAAGTCACCAATGGAGCCATATTGGCTAAAATGTTGAATCTATCAATGAATGATGAAATCCAATGGCGGTTTTCTAGCATGGAATTGCCGATAGTATTCTCTTAGGGTGCAAAATGATGAACTTATCAAATCCAAAATAAAATTCCATGATTTTGGTTCTTTGTTCTGTTGTGAATTTTTCCGCGGTTAATTTCCCTGTGTTAATCTTAGTTCTGGAAAAAAAAAAAAAAGTATGAAAAATCTGACATGTCATGACATTTTTAAATACCGAGGTGACTTTTGGGACACCTTATATATGGAAAAATTGTTATAAGATGCAAGCTTTGATGCTTTATTATGAATCAGATTTTTCAGGCTGTCACCAGATTTCTTGGAAATCTTAATCTTTTTTTTTAAATTTTCAATATTTTTTTTTATTTTCTTTTGTTCTTTTCAAAAACTTTTTCATTTGTTTTTTTTATTTCTTCTAGTTTTATTCAAAATGAAAGGAAGTGAAAGAAAATATTTTTTTCATCTCTTTTTATTCTTTATTTGTTGTTCTTTTTTGTTCTAATTTTTCTTTCTTTTCCATCAATTAGTTTGTCATTCTTATTCATTTTTTGTCATTTTCTTTTTTCCTTTCTAATTTTCTTTTTTCCTTTCTGTTTTATCTTTTAGTCTCATATTTTTACTACCCTTCTTTTTCTTTTTTTTTTTTTTTTCAATCTTACTTTTCATCTTATTTATTCTTTTTCTCTGTCACTGTCTCTATTTTATAGTTTTCCTTCTTTGCTTGTTTACTGATAAATCAAATCAACTGATATATCATCTCTCACAGCTGAAAATCAAAATTTAAAAAAAAAACTTGTATGAATGTACAGATTTGGAAAAAATAAAAGTTTTTTTTTTTTTTTTTTTTTTTTTTTTTTTTCAGTAATTCTTGTTGATTTTATGAATAAGAAACAAGGTTATCTAGCTTTGCTTATTTTTCTTTTTTGTTAATCCATTTTTAAGCTAAGTTATTTTGGGCAGAAAATGAACTGACAAATAATCAGAAGAGAAGAAACATATATTTTACCAGGATAAATGCTAATAGTATATATATTTTTTTTCTTGAGGTAGCTCCCTTACCAATAAGAATGTCATGTTTTCAGTATAGGCCTTCATTAAACTTAAAGAAATGTTCATCATCAGATAAAACAATTTGTAAATAATTACATTGATTGATACACAGAGTGAAAGTAATTGTGAGTGTTATACTTATTCTTGAATTACTTGTTGGGGATTGGTTACTTAGTGGCTTACAAAACCAAAATTATATCCTTATTGCCACATTACATTGAAACACTGGTTCCTGTATGATCACCAAAGTTAAGCAACATTGAGCCTGGTCAGTACCTAGATGGGTGACCACTTGGGAATACTAGATGTTGTAAGCTTGGATGTGTGAGTGGTGTAATGGATAATGACTCTGAATTATTAATCAGAGAGCACAGTTTCAATTCCAGTTGGGTTCATTATATTCATTTATGCACATATACTCTTGGGAAAGCTATGAATCCAACTTGTCTCCCTCTAGCTATGGGTTAATTAGTAAGACTTGTACCACTAAAGCATTATTATCTCCAAAAATAAAATAAAATTGTGCACAGAAAATTTTTTAGATTTTGGCATTAAATAATTGAGAGGTTCATATGCCGCTAAGCAAAAGCAACCAAAACCAAAATTATATATATTCAAAGTTCTGTTAGTGGTTTCTGTATAAGTCATAAAATGTGAAATAAATGTTTTACATAGCATGTGGTTTTCATAGGACTAACTTCCTCTTTGTGTGTGTTCATTCTTTCCTCACAATGTTTTGTGTGAAAAAAGCTTCCTCAGATATGTTTTCTGGAATTCTATTTTTAGGGAGTGTGCACATTTCTCTACATGCATTTTGAATCCAATTTTTGTGTCCTTGAAAAACACAAACAACAGAAACAATGAAATTAATCCAAAGAAAACCGTATACCATGATTAAAACAACCTGATTTTGTTTTGTGTGGGCTTTCTGTAACTGCTTCAAATCCTTGATATAGAAGAGCATAGTTGACATATACTGGCTTTTTGATGACTTTATTTCTATATATCAAAACTACTTTGTCTATTCATATTTCTACTTCCTTTTAATATATCTATAACTTATAAATATCTAATTCATATTATGAAAATTATCTATTAATAAACAGGCAGTTGTATAGTTACATCAAGTATTTTCCATTGACTAATTATATCTTTTGAGAGTGTAACATAGAGATATAAGCTTGTAAGCTGCCTCTATCTCTCTCTCTTTCTCTCTCTTTTCAATCCAAGACATTTTTAATGGTATTAACAACTTGCCACTGATTGTCTTACCTTTATTTATTTATTTTTTTCAAGTTATTTGAAAATAATTTCAAATCATGTCTGCTGATTGAATGCCTGCCTTGATGAAACTCCTGCTTGTGCAGAAAAAGCTATTTTGGGGAATATGGCAGATGGACTTGAGTTTTATTTTGCAAGGAGATTGCTAGAAATTAAAATCATCTTTTTTTTCAGTAGTGAGGAACTAACACTGCCTTATAATTTGATAGATTTTTTTTTTCTGTGCTGGATAGGAGTACAAGATTGACCACCCAGGGATGATACCATTTCTAGGTTTAATTTTAAATTTTCCTTTGCCTGTTGATAATATATTAGACATAATTACCTGTCTTGCAGTGAAATACTCAGATTTAATATTTAGACCCAAAGATTATTGTATAAGAAAGATTTGTTTTTTAACAAAACAATTGTATTTTGATTAGCTAAAATGAATTTCTTTGTCTATTTGTAATTGTTTTTTTCTTCATAATATTTCATTCCCTGCTTTCCTTGGGTGTTTGTTATATATTAATGTAGAATTTTGCTCTGAACAAGTATTAATTTCTTTCACATGTCACATCTTACGTCTGTGTGTGTATGTTGTTGGTTAGTCCTTTTCTAATATACACTGAATCTGTGATTTTTCTATAAATCCTTGTCTCTTTCAATGCATCAGTGAAAGCAAAATATGACAGGGAATAGAATTTGAGAATAATAAGATTGAAAGAAGCAGGGCATGTACTATGCTAAAATCATTCCATCAGTTGGCAGAATGCAGGCATTAATCAGAAAACATGATGAATTTTGGGTTCTAAAAATATGACATCAAACATGGCAGTTGGTGAGATTCATTTAGTTCATTGGAAGAGCATGGGGGGGTCCAGTGCACAGGTCAAAAGGAGACCATCCCTTAAACATAAGTACATGTATCTGATATGTTCTGTATGAGAGAGTAGGCCATGCCACTCAGAGAAAGGTTTGTCATTTCAAAATACAATAGACCTTGGTTGGAGGCTGGATGGGTAAAGTAGCCAAAATGAGTTGTAGTTTTTTAAAAAAAAGATGAGAAAATTGGTCTAAATTAGCCAAAGTACAATGTTTAAAACACTTGTCTAAAATAAATTCAGACAAGAACTAATAAAAAAAAAATAATATCCTAGCTGATGCATGATAATTCTTTAAGATTATCAATACACAGGCATTTTAACATTAAAAAAGAGATATACATTAATTTTTTTTTTTAAGTTTCACATTTCTGTTTTTTACCAATTTATAGATATAATTTACACAAATATATATCCAGATAAAAATATAAACAGTAAAAAGATAATTCAGTTTTATTTATACACCTGTTGCTAAAGGTTTTTTTTTTATATAGCTGTCTATAAAAAATAAGGCTACTAATGAAGTAAAACTATTTTGGCCTAGTCTCATTGTGCTAAGTGTCATGAGTCAGTTGTGGGCATTACCAAAGATATCCTCTGAAAACATTGTGATTGCAACTTGTTACAGATGAAGATTGTCAGAAAATCAGTGAATCTGCTGAATTCTGTCTGCTGAGATATGTGCATATGGTGACGGCTGCTTAATGTCATTCTGAAGGTTCATCAAATCTGTTTCTTCTTGCAGAAGCTGTCTTCTTTATTCAACTTCTTGAATCAAATATGGCAAGACTACATATACTGATGTTTCTTCTGCTGAATTGACAGTTTGACATTAGAAACAAATGTGACCTCATTGCTTTCCTTTAGCCTTCTGAATGCTGGAAGCCAAATTGTTATTCTAATTTCTAGAACAATGCATTCTATATTGAACACTGTCATTGGTTACAGCCAAGAGACCCGATTCACAAAATGCAATCCTTCTTCCTTGTCACATGATTCAAAAAACCTGTACTCTGTTATACATATTTGTCTTGTTTATTGAATTTAAAAATTCAGTTGCCAGTATTTGGTTATATTTTTCACATTAAAACATGTCAGGTTTAAGCTGTTTTTCATTTGTCTTAACAAATACAAAATATATAGGTTTCTTTTATTTTTGACCCTTTGTTATACTGGAACATACCTATTCTATTGTTAATAGACTCTCCCATAGATAAGTAGTAGTAGTGGCAGTCGCCAGGTGGCTCAGTGGAGTTGGTGTGTCAGTCGATGTTGGAGATTAAAGTATCAACCACCACAACTAGATTGCTGCGTCATTAACTATTATTTAAAGTTCTTAACGTTTTGTACGTCGAACCCTTTTAGGACCGACTTGGTGAAATACAAGCTTCCACTGTGAAAACTACTCTACAACACCCTTGCTATTAAAGTGACTAAATTTCAAATATTTAGTGTCTCATAAATATGAAAGCTGACTGCAACCAACAGGTAATGACCATTATCCTTCACCACAAAGAATCAATTGGTCTATATTATTGCCATCATCTTCAATTAAGGAAATAAGAATTGAATAAAAAATTCAAGTCGTCATTTTTCTTTTGAATTTGTGACTTAATTTTAACTATAGTTACTTTTTATATGTGTGAGAAAGCAACAATAGAAATTGATACTTGCTTATTATAGAAAGTTATTATTTTATCTGCAACCATATTATTATTTTGAAGAGGAAGAAGAAACAAACTAGGATTTAAGCAGACATCTTTGTGGTGAATTGCTATACCATTATTATTTAAGCCAAAAATGGCTTCTTAAAACAGATTTAAAGAATTTACACTATTTACATTGTTCAGACTGTTGTCCTCATCTTTGTTGCCATATTAACCACATTTTGGCCATTGTATGCTCCAGTCTTCTTCAGGTGATTGGAATTTTGAACTGAAATCACCTGAAGTGTACAACAACCAAAACATTGTGAATATAGCAACAAAGATGAGGACACCATTCTGAACAATGCAAATAATTATGATACCTCATCTCAGAAATATAGACAGAAAGTTAAAGAATATGTACATTTTATAAATAAGTGATGGAAGTCGCTCTTTATCATAATATACAGAGTATACTATGAACAGACAGTGAAATATTAACAAAATCACATTTTTTTGTTGGTTAATCAAATATTGATTATCTATAAGTATGTTTTCCAAGGTGACTTTTATACTTTGTTTTTATGTAGTCTGATGGGCAAAGTTACAAGCTATAAAAATCTTCTGTCATTAGTCCAGCTTTTGAACCAAGGAAATAAGGTTGAAACCAAGACTGTAAAACTCACAACAATTGGTTGATTTAAACCTTGTAAAGTTGGGTAATTTGTTTGAACATCTTCCCAAGAAGTGTACAGGTCTTTGTAGTGCTACATCATCTCATCCACCTTAGGGTGATTCTGCAAATTAATAACCAAAATTTCTATTAGATAATTTAGATAGCCACTGGCATAATTGTGTTTTATTGATAAAGTGTGTGCCTTTATCTTTTATTTAATTGATCAAAAGTAAATGCAGATCTCTTTTTATAACAATTTTTGCCTCGACTGTTTGAAGTTGCTTTATTTCTTTGATCAATACAGTAATAATTTCTTGTCAATATGTTTAATATATTTATCAATGTTGGCACAAAGACAGTCTTTAGTCAGCATTTAGAGCAGTGTTTCTCAACCGTTTTAGGTAAAGGCAGACCTAGGAGCAAATGAAAATATTATGGCACACTTAACAACATTATTAAAGGATATACATTTAAGTTTTATGAAATAAAACCATAGAATAAAAAAAAAATACCTAAACAAATATGAACTTACTTTATTTTAATGTTTCTATTCAACTATTTGTGCAGCTTTTTAGTGTGAAACCTGTGGCTGGCGTATTTTTGGTGATTTCTTCAATGTTTTGTCGAGTGTGCAATAAACACTCTCACTTCTTCTTCAGTTGAACTTAGTCTTTCTTGCTTCTTATTTTCAATGTTATTTAGCAGCACACTTAAGAGGATTGTGCCATGGCACAGCAGTTAAGAATCACTGACTTAGACTGTTTGGTTATTGACATATTGGTCAGCAAGCCAGTCTTGCAATCATTGCTTGTGATTTTGATCCTCAAAGGGTCAACGTGATTGTGGTCT